GCAGCGCGGGTTTGGAGTAGGAGAAGTTTTTCTGGATTATTTTGGTCCATTTTCTTATACATTTTTTCTAGGTTTTTTGTGAGGTTGTGTATGGGAAGAAAAGTAAAAGATAAATAGTAAATTTTAATTTTTATAATAAAAAGTATAAGAAAAAAATGAATAATTGTCGCAGTATGGGCATATATACTGCATGCACCGTCAAACTGAACGAAAACGAGAGAATCGTGCTAGTCAAATACAAGAGTTTTGACTTCAATTTTTGAAGTATTAATTGGAAAAAAACACCTAGATTTACATGGATTCATTTATATTTATATTTTACCCGTTCAAAACGTATGAAGTTTAGATCCACTAAAATTCATCACTCTTCTACTTCTACTAAACGGATAGAGATAACTGCCTATATTCTATGGAGCATTTGGAAGAGCATGAACAACTGGGTCTTTCAGGACACCTGGAGAGGGAAAAAGTCGATTGTAGATCAAGCATGCAAGGGTTGGCAAGAATTTGTTGTGTTCTCCTGATGTTTGGCTTATTTCCGTTTGTTCTTTTTCTTTGGGTTGTTGGTTTGGTTTTAGGTTTTCCTTGTTTTGAATTGTCTGTATATATCATGTTTGCTAGTTTCTCTTAGTTATAGTTGGGTTACTTAGAAGTTTGTACATGTTTTTTTGGGTGATTTACTAGGGGCCTAGCCCAGCGGTATCTCATCTTTTGTCGAGCTGCCTTTTTGTTCAAGGTATGCTCATGGAGGAAACTATAAGATTCGGATTCGTAGGTCGTAGCCAGGGGCGGATCCATAGGCCCCACCTGGAATTTTAATTTTTATTACATAATTTTTTATAATATATATTTTCAAAAAAAATAAATATAAATTGTGTAATTTTAACAAAATAATTAGTAAATGAAGTTGTTTATTAATTAGTTTTTTTTTCTTCTTTCTCTCATATTAAAATTTTCTTATTATAATGTCTTATTTATCGGTTGTATCTTTGTATAAATCTATCATGACGTCGCATGCTACTATATTAATCGTTATGTTAGAGAATCATTGTCAATGAAAATTCATGTCAACTATGTAATTGACTAAAAAATGGAATTATAATAAATTCTTTGATCCAACATATTGAGAAATATTATCTCTCTCCTACCCATGTCTAGTACAATTTAATATTGAGAAAAATTATGAGATCTTGTCATATACGACTTAATGTGTTTGCAGTGGGTAGATGAATATTTTTGTTTTGATAATAATACATCAGAATGAATAATAATACTGAAATTTACGCAATATTAAAGATATTGTAGAAAATTTTATCTTGAATTATATCAAAAAAATTAGAATTTATTTATATTTTTTTTTTGGGTCTTATTTGTGCTATATTTTTATTTTTTTTAATTACCACAAAAATTTGACCCCACCTCATTTTATTTTCTAGATTCGCCCCTGGTCGTAGCCTTGACTATGCCGGGTTCTTATAATTCTTCCTTGTAGTTATCTTAGTTTTCTCTAGGACGCCTTGGGTGTTCCTCTTATTTTTCCGGGTGGATATTGTATCGTTCGTTGTCGAACTTTGTATTTCCGTTTTGAGTTATAATATCTGTCGTTTCGGGAAAAAAAAAAAAAAAAAAAAAAAAA